ATTCATGAGATGTTGAAAAGCAGCTGGTGCATTCGTGAGTCCAAAGGGCATGACATTATATTCGAAATGTCCATACCTGGTTCGAAACGCAGTCTTCCATTCATCTCCTTCTTTGATCCGTACTAGATTATATGCTCCTCTTAGATCTATTTTTGTATAGATCTTAGCTTGATTCAACTGGTCAAGGAGTCCTGATATCAAAGGTAATGGATACCTGTTCTTGATTGTGATCTTGTTGAGTCCTCGATAATCAACACACATTCGTAAAGATCCATCTTTTTTCTTTACGAATAGAATTGGAGCTCCTGCTGGAGATTTTGAATGGCGTATGAAATTCTTCGCTAAATTCTCGTCAATATATGTCTTGAGTTCAGCCATCTCATCTTGCGATAAACTGTAAATTGGTCCAAATGGTGGCTGAGTTCCTTCCTTGAGGTCGATTGAACAATCATATGGACGATGCTCAGGAAGAATATCTGCATTTTTTTTCTCAAAAATGTCTTGATACTCCTGATATTGATTTGGAATGCCACTTGAAGTCTTTACGTTTTCAGAAATAGGTGCAGCATAAATAGCAAAAGTTGATCCTTCTTTTGCTGCGTGTATAAATGCTTTTGCACCTATCAGTACGGGTTTTACTGTACTAGACTTATAATTTTTTACTTGGTTCGTAGAACTATTAATAACGCTTTTGGAAAAGTCAAGTTTACGCGAATTCCAATCTATTCGAGGGTTATATTTTTCTAGCTAGGATAAACCTAAAATAACTGGATTGGATGGGGATTTAATTATGTTAAAAGCTATGTAGCTATCATGACCGTCTATTGTTACTTTTATAGGATGAGTTTCATGAGTGACATCTCCAGAAGACAAGGGACGACCATCTATGACTTCTACATGTACTGGTTTAGGTTTCTGTACAAAAGGTATTTTACGACTTTTAACAAATTGTTCATCTAAAAAACATGCTGAGGCTCCCGAATCTAATAAAGCAGAGGCTTTGTAATTCTTAGGTCCTAAATATAAGTCTATTATAAAACAAGGAGAGGGTTCTGAGGAGAGGATAGGACCTTCATTAGGAATTGTACAAGGTTCCAGCTGCACGGTCCCTATTGTAGCTGGACGAATCCGTTTTCCGACATGTTGTCTTCTTTGACCGTCGTACCCCTCATTTTGTAGTTGCGTCATTTCTTTGGACAATGTTGAGCAGTGTGCTTAGGTTCTCCGCAATATAAACATAATCCTTCTTGACGACGACGAATCTTTTCTTGCTCAGTTAGAGGTTTAAAACGTACCGCGTCAATTTGCATGTCTTCTACTTCCGAATGTACGTTTGGCAAAGATGTTGATGTTGCCATTGAGTAATAACGTTGAGGTTTCCGTGAATGATTCTCGGATCGAAATTCGAAAAGTCGATTATCACATTTTACCGCAAAATCGATTGCTTGACTCAAAGTTTGAGGATCAGGTAAGTTGAGCATCAATTTCTTTACTTCGTATTGCAATCCATAAAGAAATTGACTGATGAGTGCAGCATCATCCCACTTGATGTCAATTGCAAGTTGTCGAAATTGTGAAGCATATACTGTTACTGAGCGATTTCCTTGTCGCAGAATTCGGATCTTATTTGTTGCAACACGAGTTGCATCGTGTTCACCATACATAGATCGAAACTCCGCCAAAAAAGCTTCCAAATTGTCCAATATTGGATTTCGTTGTTCAAGAAAAGACGAAAACCACGATAATGCAGAACCAGAAAGTAGAGTGCCAATAAACCTGACTTGTGATCCTGGAGTTGGATAGCTTTGCGGTTGAAGTTCAATTGCCAATTGTACTTGATTGATGAACCCTCGAAACTTTGATCTCGTACCATCAAATTTCTCAGGTAAGGCAATTCTTGGTTCTCTAGTGTTTATAGGGTGTTGTACAATTGGAGAAGGAACGTGATTTGTTGTAGATGTTGAAGCAGCTCCGATCATCTCTATATCTCCACTTTCTGCTATTCTTGTTCTTTCCTGTGTTGGTGAATTGAGTTGATGCATTGCAAGCATTAACTCCCTCATTTGCTCTTGCATTTGTGCCATTGCGCTCTTCATTTCAACAAGCTCTGCCATAATGACACTAAGAAGAAAAATTTGTTTGATATTGCTCAAGACAAAAGAAAAGAAAGACTTGATAACAAAGAAGATACTAAGAACAATATCAGTTTAGAAGTGGGTAATCCGCAAACTTCTAATACGCTTATGTCTTGTCAAGAGAAAGGGGTAATCCACTCTTACTCAAGAAAAAACAAAGCTCTGATATTGTAAGTGTACTCTTGTCAATCTGTCAAGGACAAAGACTCAATGAGGAAAAATATACACCAAAAGGCTATCTCGATATAATATAAACAAGTAGGTATATTAAAAGGAAACTGGAATGGCTATTGCCACAAGACAAGAAACTAAAGACTCTTGAACCTGGACTAGAAGCAAGAAAGGAGTTGACAAGAGTGAAGAGGGCTTCACTCTTGCCTCTATATATACTATCTAACTAGAAGCCACATGGCAATGTTCTATAAGACCTCCAATATATGTTGACTTTCTAGGCCACATGCCTTTGCTTATAAGGCAAGTTTTCTATGGATGGACCACGTAGTTAGCTTGTTCTTTAAGCTTCCAACATGTGTGGCACATGGCTAACTTGTTGACCAAGTTTCTAGCCTAAAAGTCAACTATAGACTCCTATAAAGTCAAAGCAGCGTCTATGAAGCTTCTAAGAAGCTTCTCTAGAAGATATTACACAATTAACCTACTTTTATCTACTTTTACATACTTTTATCTATTCATATAGGTAATTATATGTATGTTCGTGACAATAAGTGTGAAGAAGGCTTCACTCGTGTCTTCATATATACTATCTAACTAGGAGCTATGTAACAATGTTTTATAAGACTTCCAACACATGTCTAATTTGCAAGACAAGTTTCCTATATATTTCTCACATGACCAACTTGTAAAACAAGCAACCAACATATGCAACACATGGTCAATTTCTTAGCCTAGTTTTCAACCTATCAATCAACTAAAAACATGTCTAAAATCAAATCCACATCTACAAAGCTTCTAAGAAGCTTTACTACAAGATATTATCAAATCTATTTACATTTATCCTCTACCTAATACTTCTTATTTAAATGAATATATATGTCCATCACACTATATTAATCTATTGTAGTATATGCATTTCAAATTCAATAGCTACATTGTTAGCAAAATCATTTTTATTATAAAAAATTCATTTCTTTAAATCCTTGTTAATTTTAAAACTTAGATAGCTATTTACTGAAAAATTTAAGAAGAATATCCAATAGATTGGTAAGTTTTTATGATTTTTTTTTTTTTTTTTTTTTTTTTTTTTAAATCAAATCATTTGATAATTTTTTTTAATAAACTTAACATTAAAACACTCAATTTTCAAGAGCAACTTTTAATTTGAAAAAAAATAGCTATATGGATTTGTTTTTTTGTAAATTTATTATGCTTAGTAGTTTCATACATGCATTTCTTTTTTAGAATACTACTGATTGCCTTAACATAGAGCTGTAAACAAACCAAGCTGTTGCTTTTCCATTTGGCATATCTTTCTACAAGATTTCAAAATGTAATTTGATGTGTTCATATAGCTATAGTTATTACTTATGAATTAAACTTCTAAATAGAAGCTTAATTATTTATCAACTTTATTTTTAAAAATATATAATAATTATATAAATTTGTGTTATTAATTTTTTATTAAAATAATATCTTATTATAATTAATTTTATTTTAATATATTTTAATTTTTATTAAAAATATTATCAAATATAATTTTAAATTATTATATATATATATATATATATATATATATATATATATATATTTTTTAAATAATAATTATTTAGTAATCAATCATTCAAATCTTGGATTTATCCACTGTAAAGAAAATCAAACAATTCCAATGTAGGGTGCAGTTGTAAAGGGAGTTTGCAACTTCAAATGAAGATGTTAATAACCAACAGTCTTCAAAGGATTGAATATCTTGTCAAGCATTTCTCTAATAACCAACAGCCTTACAAGAAACTCGTACACATAATCTGCCATTCGGAGAGGTTGGACAGGAGATAGGGAATGGAGAGGTTGGAAAAGGGATGCAGATTGGAAATGGGAATGGGAGACAATGTTGGAAACGGGAACGAGGGACAAAGATTCACTGCTGGTTATGATGGTAGAATTGAAATAACGGCAAGTGGGATTGATTTAACATTTATATATATATATATATATATATATGTGTGTGTGTGTGTGTGGATATATGTTTATTTATTTATTTACTAATATAATTTAAGATTAAAACCTTAAATTTACAACTCAAAACATCTTTTTATTTTTGCATTTGTACCATATGTATTTCTCACAACTTGTTGTTTTTAAAAATTAACATGTTATAGATTAATTTTCTGAAAACGATACTGTAAAAAATATGATAAAATTATTAATAATAGGTAATTAGTACCAAAGGTAACTTGTTTTAAAAATATAAAATAACAATCACATAATGCCCTTAAATTCTTGTAAAATCTTAGTTATATTGCATTACAACAGTCTTTTGAAATCTTAGACAAAACTTAAGATTTAATCAAGAAAACAAACATTATCAATTTTTTTCAATTCAATTGAAAATAACATATATATATAAAACCAATTTGAATATCACGTCCTATTTTATTTAAAATATGTTCTATATCATTCTAAAATTTTCATAGTAGTTATTGTGTGTTTATCTTCTAAAACATATTTCAAAAACTGAATGTTTTATTTTCATTCGTAATTATTTGCAATGGTCTTTGTAATATTTCATGGTAACTAACTTAAAACTTGTGGAGTTTTCAAATGTAATCATATGATCATAATTCAAGTTTTAAACAAACTGAACATTCTGATGTCAACGAGTTAAGAAGATCTCTGCTTAGACACGATCAATTGAAACAGATCATGATCCCATCAAGTTCATCACAATTATGATCAATCATAGCAGAACCCAGATTACGATTGAACTGATCGTGGAGCTTGAAGTGGTAGCAGCAGCAGCGGATAGACTCACATTCTACTTACAACGATTACATACTCGGCACAAGGATAGCGCATCATTGTGCATCAGTCACCAACTTCTGACTACAGGAAAATGCTGGTGTCTAAATAACAAGGGACGAAAGAAACAGGGAAAGATATTGTGCCGTTCAATTCATGGCAATGGGGAAATGATACAGAAGAATGAGAGCGAAAGAGAATGAGTGCTCTTGATATCATTCTTCAGTGTCATTAGGACCTCATAATTCTACCAGTGCCTACAGCATTCATGGGTTAGTGTCAGATCATAGAAAAGGATACTCTGATGCGACTGGGAAACATGTTGAGAGAGAAAGAGAAACTTGGTCGTGTCATGGAAAGTGCATCTGATGTAAAGTAAGGGACTTTCTCTCGTATTTACAGTGTTAAAGTGATGGTCGGCCGCCCTCAGTAGTCCTCCGAATCAAGATCCAAATTTGAGGGGAGCATGCGGCTAACTCCGTGGTCGGCCATGTCGCCGACGTTAAGATCTGTCACAGCGTCTCCAAAGCTAGGCATGGGTGCGTAGGGCACCAGCGGAGTAAACTGATGATAGTTTAAGTAGTCATGGATCATGTCCTGTAGGGCATACTGATCGAAATCAGGTTGGTCACACAGGAGATTGTGTGCGTATTGGTCCACACAGAAGTCGTGCGACGTGAGATCAGCAGGCTGAGCAGATTCCTGACATGAAGGAATGTGGCTGGTGTTTTCAACAACTCTATCATTATAGTTGTTTTCTGCCTCGTTGCAGATGTTGATGGGAGACCTTGAGTTGTCAGTAGTCTCGGAAACGATGTTCATGCTTTTGATCTTGGCAGCCGCCTGAGCGGCTTGTGCCTTGACAAACTCTTTGATCTTCTCGGCGTCCTCCTCACGATCGAGGGCCAGGTCTTCAGGTAGTGGGGGGAATGATTTTGCGAGCATCGGGAAGTTGTACCTGATCTTCTTTTTGGTATAGAATAGCCCGGCGTCAAATGCCCCCGCCGCTTCCTCGTCCGTGTTGTATGTGCCTAGCCATATAGTTTTCTTCCACCGCGGTGGACGGATTTCTACCAGGAAGCCCCGGACATTTCTCCGTTTCCGAACCCCTTTGAAGCGGTTGAGATACCATGGTTTTGTCCCATTTGGAGGCCTGCCTCTTTGAGGCTTGATCGGAGGATCTGGCGATGAATCACGCGACCTGGAAGGAGTTCGCACGACAACAATATTAATAAAGAGTCGAGCCAAAGTTAACCAAGCATACCATGAAAGAAACGAAGAGTGGGAGAGAGCGAGAGAGAGAGAGAGTCTCAGCCCAAATACAATGAACACTTGTTAAGAATTTGGCAACAAACAAAATCTAACCATGAACGTTTCCAGTGAAGTGGAATGTATGGGTTGAAATGTTTTGATCTCCATCAAATAAGAGTATTACGTAGACCGAGGTCATTATAATTTCTTCAGCTCTCTTAGATCATCTTAATTAAATGATCAATGTAATGAAGTAAATGGAAGTTGAACATATAATTTTGCACCTTCTTAAGTCTCCTCCGTTGACAACTGAACCATGGGCAATTGTTCTAGTAGAGGCTCTGTTTTTAGCAGCTCGATGGGTAGCTCCGCCGTCCTTTTCCTCTATACCCCCGGACTGAGACGATGGCACCCCCGAAATGGCTTCCAGTTTCCACGTAGATGCATCCAACCCAGATTTCAAGCCTACTTTCACAGCTTCGGAGCTCCCGGGACAAGTCAAACACTCGTATATTTCGGATTTGACGCCCCCGCAGACGCATCGGGAAGCCCATCCTACGACACTCTGCTGTAAAAGAGTAGCGTCTACATCACGCGTGTGTTGAAGAAATACCTTTGAAACATCCGGCATTTTGAATGAGTCTGTACAGAGTAAAGTTTTGCGTTGGGCTTAAGCTGCTACTGTGAAACTAATCGTCTTGACAAGGCGTTATACCCTTGTGATTTCCGAGACGTTTGAATTAGTGAAACTTCATGACACTGCAAGTCCAGTTTTGTAATCCTGAGATTATAGCATCACCCCCTCTCGCATACTATCGATTTTGCACCTGCGCATTCCACCACAAAGCGCCATATCAGAGAAGTACATAGCTCAACACGCACTTTATGACTGCATTAAGCCCATTTCCGAGCGTAGGACACCAAGATTCAATCCTTGGTGGAGCAAGCGCGGGACAGTGGCAATGGCAGTAGAGCTTTCTAAGCTTTCGAGAATCGGGTAAGCCCGCTTCTCAATTAGAGCGGAACTTTCAGCCATAGTTCTTCTATTTAACTTGCAGGGAACCAACGGCACGAAAGCCCAGGCTCTGGTGTGCAGTGTGTCGCGCCTCAACTTTGCTACAAAGCTTAAAATTTATCTCTCGCTAATTAAGCCAAATATACAACTTCATAAAGCGCCTGTCAAACTTTTACATCATATTCTCTCCACTCCACACCCAATCGCCAACACAAACGTGAGCACAACAATTCAGAAGCTTCATCCCACCAGACTATGAAACGTAAATTATTTTTCATGGACCGTCTTCACTCAAGACCAAGCAGGGGGAAAGCGGCACCTGGTGCCTATTCACGGAGATGTTCTACTGTCCAGAGAACATACAGACAGGGAATGTTTTGCACAGCTTGATCCTCCCTTCCCGAAACTCAAGTTTCCTAAATTTAGAGGCCCTTCGTCACATCCGCGAAGGGTCACCTTCCTCAAAGATGTGCCAGCAACCCTAGATTGTAGCAGACAGCTTAGTGCTTCGTGCTCGTACAAGTCATTATGCTGAAGTCTCGTATATGGTCCACAATCCAGCAACCGCCTAAATACCATTTCTTGCCTCCTACTCAATCTGCCCCTCTTCAATCCTTCACCATCAGTACCCCTGACCACGGCAGCAAGGAAGTAAACTTGCCGGTCCGCACACTGCCTTGTACCAACCAAGCCAACCTAGAAACTCCACGCCTCGACGCCGTGACCCACCAAAATGGCTAACTATCAAACCCGCAGACAAGGCGAAAAACCGATGCCGCTTGACCAACCGAACTCGAAATCGAATCACACTGGCGAAGAAAAGCACACCACCATTTCCGGAGCAGGGAAGCGATCGGCACACCGAAGCAGCGTATCGGTTAAATCCTCCGACAAAGACGTCGAGCTGCGTTGATGAGGCAATCCAGTGGGAACATTGCAGTCTAGTGATCGAAGGGCGAGGCACACCGAACAATGATCGTAAATCAAAACTAACTATCTGTCTGTATATGCGTGATGGAAGAAGCGAGCTCTAGTGGGTTCAAGGCACCTGCCTTCCTTTCTAGTTGATGATGGTATTTTCAAGGGTGGGGGTATCAGGTCGGCCACTCGAAGACAAACTGACCCGCCGTGGATAGTCACGGTCCAAGCCCTAGCAACAGTGGGTGGAGGGTCATCGTACTCGATAGCACAGATCAGCGTGAGTTCGCGTTAAATTATTGTGTAAATATCCGCATCCAGACGTGCAGAATCCAGCGGGCAGCATTAACGCGGCACTATTCGACACGAGGGAACACCACCCACGTTTCAGGAATAACTGGTGCGGGGTTTACCGCAGATCCGTGTCAGCGAGCAGGCTGTCTCCACTGCCGTTGACGGTAGTAGTTCCCCAGGTTTGGTTTTCATCTTTACGACAAAAATTGGGGTACTAGCTTACAAGTTTGCATTCTGGGAAACGTGGCCTTCGCTTAGACTTTCCAATCTCTTCACTTGTCTCGACGAATCTCAATCGAAGAAACCAGAAACGCCAACGAAGAAAATAACGTCAACGAAACAAACTGATTTCTAGAGATGACTGCAAAACCAATGGCTACTTTACGAATATTAGCAAATTTATACGGTAAAATTTTAATAATTAGTTTTAAAATAGGCATATAATATAAGGTTCATATATATATTTATATATATATGTATCACCTACAACTAATGAAGGATTAACAAGAATTTTCATTAATTATATATTGTCTTATTTTGGATTATTTGTAATTCTTCTTTACTCTAATATAAAACTTTAGATTATATTTTTAAAAGAAATTTCTACTTCACATTGTATTAACAAGTAAAATATTGAATTATTATATATTATAAGATTTAGATTTACTATCTTTAATATTGTTGTTGGATATTTAATTTTTATGGTACTAAATAATATATACAATTATTTTATTTTTGTTATAGAATGCAATCATTTAGTATATTGATTTTTTTGAATAGAAAAGAAAATGTGAGGTTTTTTCAAAATTCTAACTTTTATATATTTAAATCATATTCATAAATAATTTTATCTTAATATAAAAAAGTATGTTATATTCTTTATTTGAAGTCTCATTTGCATTAAAGATGACTTTCATAAAGCTCCACTATTCTTTTAGCTTGTATATCTGTATTTATAATAGGAAGTTTTAAATCCTATTATAATAATTTAATTTAAAATTTATAATATGATAATATATATTTAAATTATAGATATTTAAATATCTTCTTTTTTAATATTTTTTAAATTTTATTGAAGTTCTTTGAGTACATATATTATTTATGGTTTAGAATTAAATTCCAAATAAAGTTGGTAATTAGATATTTTTACCTTTTAATTTTATTGATATTAATTTTAATCTTATAAATTTCTGATATTTTTTTTGTTGATTTTAATACATTAATAACCTATATTACTAGTAATATTACCATAGCTTCTTTTAAATTCATTAGAATTAATTATTATTTTTTTGAGTCTTTACGACAAATATTCTATAAAACTTTTGTCTTGACAATATCTTGAATTGTTCTCTATTAAAGGTTTTAAATTAAAGTTTTAAGCTTTTTGATTTTTTTGAATATTTTTGTATATATAAAAAGAAATAGAATAAAAAAATAAGATTATTAATTGCTTCAAATGCTTGTATCTATATGAAAGTGTATTACTTGTCAAGGGCATAAAGCAAAACAAAGAACCTTGAAACACTCTTGTATAACTTAAGAAGAATAAATATTCATACTAAAAATAATATAATATTAAGACTAGAATGGCTATTGCCAAAGGCAAGAAGAGTATAGATTCTTGAAACTAGACTAAGAATAAAAAAAGCATTGACAAGAATGAAGAAGGCTTCACTCTTTCCTCCATATATATTATCTAAGTAAGAGCTATATATTTTAACTTACAAGGCAAGTTTTTTATATGTATGCCACATAGTTAGTTACCAACACATTGTTAACTTATTGACCAAGATTCTATTCTACCAATCAACTATAAACACCTATAAAGTTAAAACGATATTTATAATGCTTCTAGGAAGCTTTTCTAAAAGTTATTAAAAAATAAATCTATTTTTACCTACTTCTACTTAATCATAAAGATAAATATCATAGTAAAAATATATATCCATGACATTACTCTCCCTTCTAACGACAAGTTCCATAAAGAGCAGTCATCATATGTTGAAGAAATCAAAGATGCAGTAAATTATATTTGCTATATACTTTGATCATTTGTGACGGACATACGCATGTAAGCCAATAATTACATGTATAAATAAATAGAAGTAAGTAAAAGTAGGTAAAAGTAAGTTCATTCTATAATATTTGCTATGAAAGCTTCTTAGAAGCTTCATAGACATTGCTTTGACTTTATAGGTGTCTTTAATTGACTTTTTGGATTAGAAACGTGGTCAACAATTTGGCCATGTGCTATACATGTTGTTAGCTTGAAGACTAAGCTAACTATATAGCCCACACGTAGAAAAACTTGCCTTGTAAGCCAAGGCATGTGTCCTACAAAGTCAACACATATTGGAGGTCTTATAGAACATCGCCACATAGCCCCTAGTTAGATAGTATATATAGAGACAAGAGTGAAGTCTTCTTCATTTTTGTCAACTCTTTTCTTGCTTCAAGTCTAGTTTCAAGGATCTCTAATTTTCTTGGCTTTTTGGCAATAGCCATTCCAATTTCTTTCTTAATATACATATCAAGTTATTTCTATTTTGTCATCTTTCTTTGAGAGAAGTCTCACTTGTTTATTTATTTTTATCATATTCTTGTCCTTGACAGATTGACAAGAGTACACTTATAATATCAAAGCTTTGTCTAATCTTAATTAAGAGTGGATTATCCCTTTCTCTTGATAAGATATAAGCATATTAGAAGTTGCAGATTACCCTCTTCTAAATTGATATTGTCTTTAGTATTTTTTTTATTCTCAAGTCCTCTCTTCTATTTGTCTTGAGTGATATTAGACATCTTCTCTTTTTTGACTGTTATCATGTCAAAACTTACTGAAATGAAGAGTGCAATGGTACAAATGCAAGAGCAATTGAAGGAGTTAATGCTTGCAATACATCAACTCAATTTATCACGACAAGAAGCAATAAGATTGGTAGGAAGTGAAGATATAGAAATGATTGGAGCTGCTTCAATATCTGCACCAAATCATGTCCCTTCTCTTATGATGGAACGCCCTTCCAGTATTAGAGAACCTAAAATTACCCTACCTGAGAAGTTTGATGGCACCAGATCAAAGTTTAGAAGATTTATCAATTAAGTACAACTTATGATTGAACTTCAATCCCAAAGCTATCCAACTCTAAGATCGAAAGTTAGATTCATTACTACGCTTCTTTCAGGTTCAACATTATCATGGTTTTCATCTTTTCTTGAATAATGAGATCCAATATTAGATAATCTAGAGGCTTTTTTGACATAGTTTCAATCGATGTATGGAGAATATGATGTAATTTGTCTTATAACCAATAAGAATCGTATTTTGTGACAAGGTAATCAATCAGTAACGTTGTATGCTTCACAATTTTGATAACTTATAATTCATATCAAGTGGGATGATGCTGCACTTATTAGCCAATTTTTCTACGGATTACAATATGACGAAAAAAAATTAATGCTCAACTTACCTGATTCTCAAACATTAAATCAAATAATTGACTTTGTTGTGAAGTGCGACAATCGTCTTTTTGAATTCTGATCTGAGAACCGTATAAGTGGACCTCAACGTTATTATAATTCAATGGCAACACCAACATCTCTTCAACATATACATTTGGAAGTAGAGGATATGCAAATTGATGCGATATGTTTCAAATGTCTTACTGAGCAAGAAAAGACTCATCGTCGTCAGGAAGGATTGTGCTTGTATTGCGGAGAACCTAAGCATATTACTCAACATTACCCAAAGAAGTGATGCAATCATAAAATGAAGAGTACGGTGATCAAAGAAGATAGCATGTCGATATCGTATTACGTACTTTCCTGCTCAAGAATGCGCCGGACATCTGACTGTAGAAGGTAGTATGAAGATTCGCTAATATTCAAGCAGTTTATCGGTTTTTGACTCTTGGAATATAAACAACTACAAGAATATACCAATAATCTATATGGATGTCCTTCGACTGCTCGCAGAAATCCTTTTTGTCCCAGCCGGTAGGTCTCTAGACGTTACAGAGAATCCCAAACAACCCAAACTGCTAATCTTTGATACCGCTTTATACTCACGATCTTGTATCCACTGACTGTCTCGTTAGATTAACTCAATAAATTTTATTCACTCCGCATACTCAATCCTATAGACATCCTTTTAATTCTTCATTACAGACGTAACTTGATTTCACAAAATAGTCAAGAGCAATCACATCCACTTCATTAAAAATCCCGATTCCAGTACAACACTTCGATTATTCAGCAACGATTGCCTCAGTCTTTCTAAAATCCTATGAAGAAAAAAAATCCCAATTCTCTATCTTTTTTCCCCGCCCCGAAGCATGAAGCTAGCTCTCCAACCCTTCTCAAACCTTCTTATCTCCCCTTCCATTTCTTAACCTATCCTCTCCTTTAACCCTAATTCTCTCCTCTTTCAAACCCTAGCCTCTGAATTTCTTCAATCTTTCGTCTTGGATCCGGAATTGGCTCCCGCCGTCAGAGCTTTCTCCTCCGTTTTTATCTTTAAGAGATCCTTTTACCGAAAGGATGTTCTCGGAACAGCACAAAGGACGAAATAGCCTTAAACGAAATCAGAACCCCCGTAATCGGGACCACATTCAATCGCCCGACCAATTCAAGTCTCATATTGGCTAAGAGGCTCGTAGTAAGACCTGGATGTTTTCGTAATTAGATCGCATTGGGTTGCCTGACCAATTCAGATCTCCTATTGAGTAAGAGGCCCATAGTAAGACCTGGATTGGAGGTCTTGAAATTGAATCCAATTGGCTCTTCAAACCAGGTTCACCCGTCGTTGAATTGGTCCTTTCCCTTTCTGCTGACTCCCGTTATTGGAATCGAACGGAGCATTTCAGTATGCCTTGACTGACTATAACGGGGTGACTGACCCTGGCCTC